AATATTCTTTAATAAATCCACGCCTCAGTTGGCCCTTGAAAAATATTCTTTAATAAATCCACGCCTCAGTTGGCCCTTGAAAAATATTCTTTAATAAATCCACGCCTCAGTTGGCCCTTGAAAAATATTCTTTAATAAATCCACGCCTCAGTTGGCCCTTGAAAAATATTCTTTAATAAATCCACGCCTCAGTTGGCCCTTGAAAAATATTCTTTAATAAATCCACGCCTCAGTTGGCCCTTGAAAAATATTCTTTAATAAATCCACGCCTCAGTTGGCCCTTGAAAAATATTCTTTAATAAATCCACGCCTCAGTTGGCCCTTGAAAAATATTCTTTAATAAATCCACGCCTCAGTTGGCCCTTGAAAAATATTCTTTAATAAATCCACGCCTCAGTTGGCCCTTGAAAAATATTCTTTAATAAATCCACGCCTCAGTTGGCCCTTGAAAAATATTCTTTAATAAATCCACGCCTCAGTTGGCCCTTGAAAAATATTCTTTAATAAATCCACGCCTCAGTTGGCCCTTGAAAAATATTCTTTAATAAATCCACGCCTCAGTTGGCCCTTGAAAAATATTCTTTAATAAATCCACGCCTCAGTTGGCCCTTGAAAAATATTCTTTAATAAATCCACGCCTCAGTTGGCCCTTGAAAAATATTCTTTAATAAATCCACGCCTCAGTTGGCCCTTGAAAAATATTCTTTAATAAATCCACGCCTCAGTTGGCCCTTGAAAAATATTCTTTAATAAATCCACGCCTCAGTTGGCCCTTGAAAAATATTCTTTAATAATAAAAAATCCACGCCTCAGTTGGCCCTTGAAAAATATTCTTTAATAAATCCACGCCTCAGTTGGCCCTTGAAAAATATTCTTTAATAAATCCACGCCTCAGTTGGCCCTTGAAAAATATTCTTTAATAAATCCACGCCTCAGTTGGCCCTTGAAAAATATAAATCGCCTCAGTTGGCCCTTGAAAAATATTCTTTAATAAATCCACGCCTCAGTTGGCCCTTGAAAAATATTCTTTAATAAATCCACGCCTCAGTTGGCCCTTGAAAAATATTCTTTAATAAATCCACGCCTCAGTTGGCCCTTGAAAAATATTCTTTAATAAATCCACGCCTCAGTTGGCCCTTGAAAAATATTCTTTAATAAATCCACGCCTCAGTTGGCCCTTGAAAAATATTCTTTAATAAATCCACGCCTCAGTTGGCCCTTGAAAAATATTCTTTAATAAATCCACGCCTCAGTTGGCCCTTGAAAAATATTCTTTAATAAATCCACGCCTCAGTTGGCCCTTGAAAAATATTCTTTAATAAATCCACGCCTCAGTTGGCCCTTGAAAAATATTCTTTAATAAATCCACGCCTCAGTTGGCCCTTGAAAAATATTCTTTAATAAATCCACGCCTCAGTTGGCCCTTGAAAAATATTCTTTAACACGCCTCAGTTGGCCCTTGAAAAATATTCTTTAATAAATCCACGCCTCAGTTGGCCCTTGAAAAATATTTCTTAATAAATCCACGCCTCAGTTGGCCCTTGAAAAATATTCTTTAATAAATCCACGCCTCAGTTGGCCCTTGAAAAATATTCTTTAATAAATCCACGCCTCAGTTGGCCCTTGAAAAATATTTTTAAAAATTTCACGCCTCAGTTGGCCCTTGAAAAATATTCTTTAATAAATCCACGCCTCAGTTGGCCCTTGAAAAATATTCTTTAATAAATCCACGCCTCAGTTGGCCCTTGAAAAATATTCTTTAATAAATCCACGCCTCAGTTGGCCCTTGAAAAAATTCTTTAATAAATCCACGCCTCAGTTGGCCCTTGAAAAATATTCTTTAATAAATCCACGCCTCAGTTGGCCCTTGAAAAATATTCTTTAATAAATCCACGCCTCAGTTGGCCCTTGAAAAATATTCTTTAATAAATCCACGCCTCAGTTGGCCCTTGAAAAAATTCTTTAATAAATCCAAGCCTCAGTTGGCCCAAGAAAAATAATAATAAATAAATCCACGCCTCAGTTGGCCCTTGAAAAATATTCTTTAATAAATCCACGCCTCAGTTGGCCCTTGAAAAATATTCTTTAATAAATCCACGCCTCAGTTGGCCCTTGAAAAAATGAAAAAGGTATACCTCAAATCTTAAAACAAAATAAATCCACGCCTCAGTTGGCCCTTGAAAAATATTCTTTAATAAATCCACGCCTCAGTTGGCCCTTGAAAAATATTCTTTAATAAATCCACGCCTCAGTTGGCCCTTGAAAAAATTCTTTAATAAATCCACGCCTCAGTTGGCCCTTGAAAAATATTCTTTAATAAATCCACGCCTCAGTTGGCCCTTGAAAAATATTCTTTAATAAATCCACGCCTCAGTTGGCCCTTGAAAAATATTCTTTAATAAATCCACGCCTCAGTTGGCCCTTGAAAAATATTCTTTAATAAATCCACGCCTCAGTTGGCCCTTGAAAAATATTCTTTAATAAATCCACGCCTCAGTTGGCCCTTGAAAAATATTCTTTAATAAATCCACGCCTCATGAACCTGCTCAAAATCTTTAACAAATGGTGAAAAATAAAAATCCACGCCTCAGTTGGCCCTTGAAAAATATTCTTTAATAAATCCACGCCTCAGTTGGCCCTTGAAAAATATTCTTTAATAAATCCACGCCTCAGTTGGCCCTTGAAAAATATTCTTTAATAAATCCACGCCTCAGTTGGCCCTTGAAAAATATTCTTTAATAAATCCACGCCTCAGTTGGCCCTTGAAAAATATTCTTTAATAAATCCACGCCTCAGTTGGCCCTTGAAAAATATATCTATAATAAATCTACGCCTCAGTTGGCCCTTGAAAAATATTCTTTAATAAATCCACGCCTCAGTTGGCCCTTGAAAAATATTCTTTAATAAATCCACGCCTCAGTTGGCCCTTGAAAAATATTCTTTAATAAATTCTTTAATAAATCCACGCCTCAGTTGGCCCTTGAAAAATATTCTTTAATAAATCCACGCCTCAGTTGGCCCTTGAAAAATATTCTTTAATAAATCCACGCCTCAGTTGGCCCTTGAAAAATATTCTTTAATAAATCCACGCCTCAGTTGGCCCTTGAAAAATATTCTTAATAAATCCACGCCTCAGTTGGCCCTTGAAAAATATTCTTTAATAAATCCACGCCTCAGTTGGCCCTTGAAAAATATTCTTTAATAAATCCACGCCTCAGTTGGCCCTTGAAAAATATTCTTTAATAAATCCACGCCTCAGTTGGCCCTTGAAAAATATTCTTTAATAAATCCACGCCTCAGTTGGCCCTTGAAAAATATTCTTTAATAAATCCACGCCTCAGTTGGCCCTTGAAAAATATTCTTTAATAAATCCACGCCTCAGTTGGCCCTTGAAAAATATTCTTTAATAAATCCACGCCTCAGTTGGCCCTTGAAAAATATTCTTTAATAAATCCACGCCTCAGTTGGCCCTTGAAAAATATTCTTTAATAAATCCACGCCTCAGTTGGCCCTTGAAAAATATTCTTTAATAAATCCACGCCTCATTGGCCCTTGAAAAATATTCTTTAATAAATCCACGCCTCAGTTGGCCCTTGAAAAATATTCTTTAATAAATCCACGCCTCAGTTGGCCCTTGAAAAATATTCTTTAATAAATCCACGCCTCAGTTGGCCCTTGAAAAATATTCTTTAATAAATCCACGCCTCAGTTGGCCCTTGAAAAATATTCTTTAATAAATCCATGCCTCAGTTGGCCCTTGAAAAATATTCTTTAATAAATCCACGCCTCAGTTGGCCCTTGAAAAATATTCTTTAGAAATCATATTCCTTCAAAAATATCCTTAACAATCCAGACTTAAGTGTCTGATAGTTGTCTGAATTTTAATTATTCTTTGACATCTCAAAATTTCCTTTCAATTAAGTCTTCCATCGACTAGATGCATGAAATTAAATATTAAATACCACCACCCTTAATAGCCGACCTTTTATTGTTGTAGTTCTCCATGCAATTTTACAATAATTTTATGCTTTCCTAAGAACAGAGGAAATCATTAGGTGTGAATAAATACAGTGGCAGTTTGTTATTAAATACTCGTAGAATGCACTTGAGCGGTGCAAACACAAACCCTCCGGCACCGAAAGGACTCACTCAACAACACCAGCAATTGTCAACACCATGGTGTCGGGCAGACGACGACATCTTTCGTGTAAAATAGCAATTATTTGGTTTTGAAAAGTTGAAGCTGAAAACGTCTGCCGGTGCGGGATGGCTCACAGCGGCATATGGTGAACCTGGCCGTGTTGGTGTTGGTGTTGGCTTTGCTCTCGTTTCTTTTTATTCCTCGTCGTCTTCTTTGTATTCTAAAAATAATTAATGCGTATCTTGAAGCAAGCAGCAATGTTGAAAGAAAAGCGAATAAAAAATGAAGGTAAACATAGTATACAAGGAGTGTCAAATGTATAAAAGTGCATCGCAGCCTAGACCACATGCATGCAGCACTCTGTCATTACTTTCCACCTTCCGTAGTTTTCTTTTCTATTTTCCGTATATTTTTCCTTTTTTGCTGAAATTCATCCAACCATGAATGATGATCGTATGCAAATGAATAATTTACAGTTAGACGGAAGTTAGATTTAGGTGCTCATTAGACGAAAAGGAAGGCATGAAGAAATAATACAAAATGGCAAGTTTGTTTCCTTTGGCAGAAAGAAAGAAAGTGAAACAGCAACAAATGTGTGTACAAAGGCTGAAGGTTCCACAGTGGAACCTTGTACAAGAGAAGACATATATAAATGAATATATTAAATATATGTACTAAAATTGTTTTTATTAAGAAAATAACTTTGCTGACCATCCACGTTCTTCAGTGGAAGGTTTTACTGTAGAATTTCAAAATCAAGATATGCGTATGAAAGTGTATGTGTGTTTTATTTAAATAAAAAATATACAAATAGAGTGAATATATTATAACATATTGCATTATTTTTAATTTAATTACAGATTTGGAGAAAACCAAATGTGAGGAAGTTCTGGTGAAACGGGCACGTCATGTTATCACGGAAATTAAACGTACCCAAGACGCTGCTGAGGCATTGAAAAATCATGATTTTGTTAGGGTAAGTTTTTGGATTTTTAAAGAATATTTTTCTCAAAGGACCAAAAAAGCTAGAGGCGTGGTTTTTTAATGAATATTTTTCTCAAAGGACCAACAGAGCCAAAGGCGTGAATTTTTAAAGAATATTTTTTCCCAAAGGACCAACAGAGCCAAAGGCGTGGATTTTTAAAGAATATTTTTTTCAAAGGACCAACAGAGCCAAAGGCGTGGATTTTTAAATAATATTTTTCTCAAAGGACCAACAAAGCCAGATCTTTAAAGAATATTTTTCTCAAAGGACCAACAAAGCCAGATCTTTAAAGAATATTTTTCTCAAAGGACTATAAAAGGCGTGGATTTTTAAAGAATATTTTTCTCAAAGGACTATAAAAGGCGTGGATTTTTAAAGAATATTTTTCTCAAAGGCGTGGATTTTTAAAGAATATTTTTCTCAAAGGACCAGCAGAGCCAAAGGCGTGGATTTTTGAAGAATATTTTTCTCAAAGGATCAACAGAACCAAAGGCGTGGATTTTTAAAGAATATGTTTCTCAAAGGACCAACAGAGCCAAAGGCGTGGATTTTTAAAGAATATTTTTCTCAAAGGACCAACAGAGCCAAAGGCGTGGATTTTTAAAGAATATTTTTCTCAAAGGACCAACAGAGCCAAAGGCGTGGATTTTTAAAGAATATTTTTCTCAAAGGACCAACAGAGCCAAAGGCGTGGATTTTTAAAGAAAATTTTACTCAAAGGACCAACAGAGCCAACAAGGCGTGGATGTTTAAAAAATATTTTTCTCAAAGGACCAACAGAGCTAAAGGCTTGGATCTTTAAAGAATATTTTTCTCAAAGAGCCAAAGAGCCAAAGGCGTGGATTTTTAAAGAATATTTTTCTCAAAGGATCAACAGAACCAAAGGCGTGGATTTTTAAAGAATATTTTCTCAAAGGATCAACAGAGCCAAAGGTGTGGATTTTTAAAGAATATTTTTCTCAAAAGACCAACAAAGCCAGAGGCGTGGATCTTAAAAGAATATTTTTCTTAAAGGACCAACAGAGCCAAAGGCGTGGATTTTTAAAGAATATTTTTCTCAAAGGACCAACAAAGCCAGAGGCGTGGATTTTTAAAGAATATTTTTCTCAAAGGACCAACAGAGCCAAAGGCCTGGATTGTAAAAGAATATTTTTCTCAAAGGACCAACCGAGCCAAAGGCGTGGATTGCAAAAGAATATTTTTCTCAAAGGACCAACAGAGCCAAAGGCCTGGATTGTAAAAGAATATTTTTCTCAAAGGACCAACCGAGCCAAAGGCGTGGATTGCAAAAGAATATTTTTCTCAAAGGACCAACCGAGCCAAAGGCGTGGATTGCAAAAGAATATTTTTCTCAAAGGACCAACAATGCCAAAGGCGTGGATTTTTTGAAGAATATTTTTCTCAAAGGACCAACAATGCCAAAGGCGTGGATTTTTTGAAGAATATTTTTCTCAAAGGACCAACAGAGTCAAAGCACCAACAGACGACTATAAAAAGCATGGATATTTAAAGAATTAAAAATATATATTTTTTTAAGGACTAAAATAGGGTTGGACTTAAATGTAACCTGGATGTTTAAAATGGTTTTTTAGAAACTTTAATAGAACTATAATATACATGGATTTTTAAAAAATATTTTTAGAGACTCTAATAGGTATATACTAGTCTTGGATTAAAAAATATAAGGACTATAATAGGCGTAGATTTTAAATAAAATATGTTTAAGGACTATAATAGGCGTGTGGTCTTGTGGTCGTGTTATATCGGAAAATCAGACGCTATACAACTATGGAGATATTACCCCACCCTGGGGGACTCCCATATAACATCTCAAAAATATGATCAAATCTCTTCCATTTCTTCCGGTGTCAATAAACTTTTCTTCATTCATACTTTATTATTAGAATTGCTTTGTTCATCTCATGTATGCTTCCTGTTTCCACTTTAATTCCAACTTGGCTAGTTAGATTTTACATTGTTCCAATTGTATGGCCAAACAAACGTTTTGTATTTTTGCTATTCTATGCGGTTTTGTCTATGCCGCACCGTCACATTTCCCTCTAGGAAAAGGGAATATATTTGAATTTGAATGATGCCAATTCCCGGAATGCCAGTCTTTTAAAGCACCTTTTCATTGACGAGGGAGAAAAAAGTCTTTCAAAATGAACAGAGAACACATGCAATCATTAGCTTAATTTTTCGCTAACATGAATCAATGGCTTTTGAATATGGTGGGAATAATGGTGAGGAGCCGATGTGCTGCTCCGGTGGTAGAAGGTGATGCATACAAGCGAACCGAATGCCATTTAACAAGACGTCACGAAAAAAACAACGAACGGAATAAAACGTTCCACACAAACATACAAAGGATGTTGGATGTAAGGCCTAGCCAAAAAATACAGATAGTTAAAAGGGCCTAACAAAGTGGAAAACCCGTAGAGGAGGGGGCTTACCCCATCCTCTGCAGCATTGTAGGCACCGTGAATGAATGAATGTCTGTGAAATAGCACAAAAATAAATACCTTTAACAAATGACTGTGAATTTTGGTTGAACAGAAAGAACAGAGAGTGGTGGCGGCATCATCAGGGAAGATTGCTATTTGCCCAGTTGGGTTATGGACTTGGTCGTCGTCCTCGTCGCCGTCTGATGGAATGGTATGTTTACATATGGAACCCTAAATGCATAAATCAAATTTGCTGATTGCAGTTGAATTTTTTTCTGTGTTCGCCTAAAATTGTACACCAAAAGTGAACGCACACACCGACGAATTCCATTGAAACCATCCAAAACTAACGACATTTTTTGTTGTTGTTTGGTTGGTATTCGCTGAGGCCTTTTACCAAGCGAGGAGATTCGCTCGTTACATTGTGTGTATGAATGGGTGCATTTGCAAGTGTGTGTGTATGACTGTCTGCCTGTGTGTGTGGGTATCATCAAATTTGGAATCAAAAGGATGGCATACAAATTCCCTACGCTTCGTTTTATGTAATGTCTATCTATTTGGAGAGGAAACGATGGAAAATATAAAGGATGTATAGATGGGGATGTATGTGTGTAATTTGTTGTTAATAACAGTGGTGTGGGTGAGAGTAGTTAAAAAAATATTTTTAAAACGTGCAGGCCTATGGTAACAAGATTAAAAAATCCTCTACTGTTTAAAGTCCTTAAAAAGACTTTAAGAAATCCTCTTCCATGTATATTCCTTGAGAAAGTATTTAAAAAAAATTCACTTCAGTTTATGGTCCTTGTTTATAGTCCTTGAGAAAGTATTTAAAACAAATTCACTCCAGTTTATGGTCCTTAAAAAAATATTTTTTAAAAACAACCGCGCCTTTTTCTACTTCCTGAAAAATATTCTTTAAAACAAATGACGCATTCTTCTAGTCCTTGAAAATGTTTTAAAAATTCCGCGCCTTTTTCTACTCCCTGAAAAAATACTTTAAAAAATCGAAGCATTCTTCTAGTCCTTGAAAAAAAATATTCTTCAAAAAAGGTACGCCTGTTTATAGTCCTTGACAATGCTTTAAGAATCCTATGGTAGTTCTTAAAAAATATTTGTGTATTTAAAATTACCACTGTCCCTCAATGGCCATGTTTGTCCTGTATGAATGCCATGATATTGTACAAAAGCACACGGTTGGTTGGCTGCTCCTCTCCTCTTCTTTTTTTGGAGGGTAGGTTTTTCTTTGTGTTGTTTGCACCATTAAATAATCTGCATGCACCAAAAAGGCAAATGCAAAAAAAGGAAGCCTTTATTCTACAAATATGATCATCATCGACGCTGCAATTTGTTCATTCACACAACACATCCACACAGTAAATTTGAAGACTTTGAAAATTGCTGCACAAATCCTGCTGGATGGAAAGGAGCAGCGCGACTGACGTTATATCACAGCGGGAGGCATTTTCTATGCCATATTTTCCATTTGTACGAAAATAAAAAAGAAAAACCTTTGGAATAAATTAGTCTCAGCATCTTGCGGATTCTTTTTCTTCTCCACGCTCTTTTTTACTTGGCTCTGATTTTGTCTTTTGAACGTTTTATTTTATTATTATTTTTTTGCTGCCTAAAAGAGATCATAAGGGTTTCCTTTTGCAATTTTCTTAAATATATTCAATGGTTTTTTGATAATAGGCACTCAACACCTTCAAAATACTTCCAAATACTTCATTGGCCCTTAAAAACTTGCTTCCCAAACTTCTCTCTCCACCCTCCTGTTCAATATTCTCCACTTGATTTGTCTGCTTAAAGCAATGAAAATAACCCCACCAAACCTACAACGGCAGCATATTATGGGAATTACCCAAATTATGTTAACTGAATGCATATTATGCACGTCGATTTTGTGCTATGCCGCGAATAAAACGAAACGCTATAACGGTAATGATGGCTGTTCGGGTTTTGATAATAGTTCACAATTGTAGTTGTGAGACCGGTGGGGTTGCCAGCCAACCAAAATTTGTAGATTTTCTACTCTTTCAGAAATCAAACTTAAAAAATACAAGCCTGAGGCTCCAATAATTCTAGAAAAAATATTGTCCTGGGAAAAAAACTCGTATAGTCCTTGAAAAAATATTCTTTAAAAAAATCGTTAAATTTTACAGTCCTTATAAAAAATAAAAAAATCGACGCCACTTTTTGTTTTTGAAATAATATTCTTATAGACCTTGAAAAATTATTAGAGACCTTAAAAAATATTCTTTTAAAAATCCACGCCTCTTATGTACCTTGAAAAACTATTAGAGACCGTAAAACATATTCTTTTAAAAATCCACGCCTCTTATAGACCTTGAAAAACTATTATAGACCTTGAAAAAATATTCTTTAACCAGTAAGGAAAGTAGTAAAGTCGGACGGGGCCGACCATATGATACCCTTCACCACTATGGGTATATTAAACAGGACTATTAACATGAATTTGGATGAAATAAAATATGTGATATATATCTAAATGTGAATCGAGTTCAAACAAATATCAATAGACCATCC